TTCAAAACAATTCAAACTATAGATTAGTCATGTTCTTTATAACATCTCTAGTAAGAGTAAAGAATATTATGGCTTCTATTTGACACAACACATTTATAAAACTCACAATTAACATACGTCTACAACATAATTTCTCTACTTATTACTAATTCATGATAAGTAAAAAAGATATTTTATTTATGTCACCTTCATATTGCAAGTATTTAGTTAAGTTAATTAGTTGCTTACTTTATTTTCATAAACCAAAAATTACTAAAAGAATTGAATTTGCATTCTTATTTTAGCATCTGAAGTTTAAGTAAGAATATTTTACTAAATAAATTTTTGTCATCTAAAATTTCTAAATTCCTAAAAAACATATAGTCATTTTCCCTGTTGGTTTGATATTCGAGACTTAATCGGAAAGTCTTATATTACTTGATAACGATATATATACTTGTGTAGTATCTCATAGTTAAAATTATAATTGTATTCTTCTTTACTTCATAGTTGAAAAGTTACCTAGATTTTGTTCGGGATCAAGTTTTTGGCTTTGTTGCAAATTAGGAATAACTATTAAGGAAATTAAACATAAAATCACATACATCACATTTTACATATATATAGAAAGTCGGGATCATTAATCATCATCCATTCATCCAGACCGACCAGTGCCAACCACCATATACGCCATCGCCACCCACCTTTCCTTTTTCTTTTTGAGTTGTATTTTGTATTGTGAGTAAAGGAAGAGATTCAAAGAAACTTCAAGACATTTAGTGGAGTGGAAATTGAGATAATCTTTTATCTTTTTGTCTACATTTGGTTTTAATTTAGACTTCTTATTTGTGTGCATGATTTGTACTTTTAAACTCAAGTGTGGGGTCGACTACCTTCATGACCAGATAACTTAGGGTCCTTTTTATTACTTTCATGTTTTCCAGTAGCTTGGGTCGGCTACCTTTACCTTTTAAGATTACTCTACCCTTCCTCTTGATGAGTCTTATCACTCCTTTAATTTTGTTGATATCATATTGATGATCCGATTATTGATGAGCTGCCACCCCACTCATTTTGGATACGGTGATTCACCATCTGCCCTTATGACCCGGTGAGCTCCGATGTATAAGGTTATCCCTATTGAGATGCTTTTGGTTATTTCGTAGGTTCTGATGTTGACAAGGCTATACCAATTTGGGATGTGAGAGACTCACGCTTCGCCTGCGGTTTAGCGAGAGCTTTGAAGCATCGGGGTGCTCCCGTACAAAATAACCATCCTTTGATGACCTATTTTCCAGGTTCATGCTAATAAAAGCTATGGTCCTTTTATCAAAAGTATTCATGGGTATCCCCCATAATGCAATTAACAAGGGGATTATGTTCCTCTGGGAGACTCTTGACCCCTAGAAAAAAATGTTTTTATTTTGTTCTCTGGTTTCAAGTGGTTTATATAGGTCTCTTCATGGATGTTGTGTTTTGAGGTATTTCAATCCGATCTTATTTGGATGTATATACGAGGACTACCAATATGTAAGTCTTCTGCTTTTTATTTTTATTTGTTTGTCTATTCGTTGTTGTATGTCATTCTTTTCGATTCATCTCCTCTTTGAATCATTGATATGATTCAGGAGGGAGATTTATTTGAATAATGAAATTATAAGACAACGTATAAATAGACAATCTGGTGACTCTGACTCTTCAAAAAGAATCAAGAAAACATAATCATAGCCTTCTTGATCAACTCTATTTGTTGTAGTCCAATTGTAGTTATTATAATTAAGCTACTATTGTATATTCATAATATCAACATTGCAATTTTATATTCTCTGATTCATGAGAAGTGTTGACCTTTGTGCTTACAAACACATGGTGTATTACTTTGAATGGGTTAGGCCCCATTGTTTTGTCATTTTTGAGGATTTCCTATAAAAAAAGTTCTAGTGTCTCCTAATGCTACTTTTATATTATTTGTGTATGATAAATCTTCATAAAAAATTAAGACATTAAATTATCACTCAATAACTGTGATTTTTTTTTACAAACAATAATATTTATTTGATATCCTTGAATTCAAATTTGTTTGGGAGACACACCCAAGGAATAGAACATTCAAACCAAGGGAAAATAAAAGAAATAGGGAAAGAAATAGAGAGAGAGAGAGAGCAACATACAATGGCTTTCTTCTTTGGGGGAAGCTGGGGTATTCCCGGACTCTTGTGACTATTTATATATAATCAAATGTTTTCTATACGTGGGGGAAGAAAGAGAGCCAAAGAAAAGTCCTCTTACATAAAAAGTCATCCTTATGCATTGTAGAGGGAATACAATAAAGGAAAATTATAATCTTAACTATGCTTTAATGAGGGTTGTACAGTTTAATATATGAATTATACCCCGTGGATCCGAGGTCTTATTGTTCTTTGGCTCGGTCTAAAGGACCAATGAGGCGAAGTGATCAATGTTATCGGTCGACCAGATGGATATGGACTATCAACCAGTTGGCCTTTTAGGGGAGAGGGGGTTGGGGGGGGATGGGTAGACGATCAACTGGATTTTTGAAGAATTAGCGAGATTGACCCTTTCTGTTGATATTAACCGGTCAGATGCATTACTCTGGTCATCAATCCTCAATCCTCAATGTTTGTCAAGGGAATTATTGTTGGCGGAGTAAAACTTATGTCATCGGGCAGAGGATGTCATTTGGGCGTGCAACATTCAGTTAGTTTAGATGGTCTATGGCTACGTAAGTTGATCGATCTTATGGGCCACATGTTATTTTTCAGTGGTTCGACCTTGTCATGTCTTTCTTTCTTAGACATTCGTATTGACACATTTTTTGTGTATATATTTAGTTCTCTGCTTCTCTTGCTTCTTGAAAGTTATATTATGATAAGAACAAGAGAATTTAATGCAAAATAGTGAGCAACATTTACGATTAATTAATGATATAATTATTGAACTCATCTTGAAATTTGTGTCCACCATTCCAATAAATCAGGGGAAAAGGGGCACACTTTTCCCTTCCTTCACTAATTTTCTTCACTTGGTTTGTTTGAATTCTAATTGCCAACATGGTGAATGAGACGTTTTTTAAAGCCAAAAAGTGCAACAAAGTCGCCTATCGAAGAACTTTCAAGGATATGAGGCCAAAATCGAATCTCGCTCGAAAGGTGATTTGAGCTAGAAGACATTTGTCACTAATAGAAATATACCTGATCCAAATCCAACTTTATTTATTAACATTTTTATATAAAAATTAAATACAAATTTAAATTATTAACTTATTTATTAATTTTATATAAAACATTAGGTATAATTTTAATTTTTGATTTATATGTAACGTGAACTGAACATGAATTTGCAATATTACAAACCTAACAGTCTAATACATCAGTTGACTTCACTCGGTTGGATTACAACTCCACACCACATCCGCTTTAAGGTTCGGATGCCGAGCGTAATCTCATCACCACATCATTGCCGTTGGATTTGGCTTATTACCAACATATCAGATGAGGATGTACATTTGTATAAGCGGTATTTTCCTCCATAACTTCCATTTGTCAATCAACAATATTCATGTTGTCAATTACTACCTCATGACACTTACAACTTTCAACTACGACATCTATGACCACTAATACTATTATAATCACCAATTACGATTCATATGACCCACTGACGATATTGCAGTTACCAACTATGACCTCTGTGATAAATTATTATTATTATTACATCTTCTAACTACGACCTCTGTGATCAATTAACACTATTGCAGTCATCAACTATAATCCCTATGATCAACCAAAGATATTACAACTTCTAATCATAATTTTTGTAGGCAACTTATACTTGTGCAACAACCAACAACAACTTCTGTGGCGCGCCTGCTACTGTTACAACTTTCAACTGTAGCCTATAAAGCCACATTTCACCATTGTAGCCACCGACTATAGCCTTTAAGATTAACTATATTAATTGTTGTTCAATTGTGGCTATTGTAGCTATAATAGTATTTTACATTTGTAATATCAACATTGCAATTTCATATTTTTTAATTCATAAGAAGAGTGGACATATGTGCTTACAAACCCATAATGTATTACTTTAACTAAGCTATGCTTTGTAGTTTTTTTTTTTTTCATTTATGGGGTTCTTACACATAAAAAATCATGATATCTATTCTTGGACATATGTGCTTACAAACCCATAATGTATTACTTTGACTAAGCTATGCTTTGTAGTTTTTTTTTTTTTTCATTTCTGGGGTTTTTACACATAAAAAATCATTATATCCACTCTTGCTATTTTTCAAATATTTGTTTATGTGTTGGATCTTTATGCAACCTTAAGACTTTAAATTATCACTAAACCGCTAAGAATTTTTCTAGCGCACAACAATATTTATATGATATATTATTTAAATAAATTATGATTAATTAAAATCTATTTAATTATGCTTATTAATAGTACCATATTATAAAAAATTTCTTCTGGTTCTCTTTCTTCAATAAACTAGTTTGACAATAATCATTTATATTATTTGACTATAAGAAAACTTATTTACAATTAATTTATTATTATTTTTGCTTGATTTAAACTAATTATGTGTTAGCTTGAATAATATTCATATATTTATTTATTTAGATTTGTAAAATTATTTTTTAACAATTTAATATAAAAAATTAAATAGTTATTTAAATTATTAACTTATTTGTTATATTTATAAAAAATATTAAGCATTATTAAAATTTAAAATCCTCAGCTCAAATTTGAACAGAAGATGGACTTGTACGGTTACACTACCACAAAGCCAAGTAATGTATCTTTCAGTCGACTCCACTGGGTTGGATAACAGTTTCACGCCCATCCGCCCTAAAGTTCGAGGGTTGGGCGTGATCCCATCTGTGCATCATTGCCGTTGGATTTGGCTCACCACCCAACAGATCGGACGGTGAAGGTGCGTTTGTATGATGAGCAGTTACTCCATTAGTTACAAGTTTCGTCTCGTCTCCTCGGTTTCTACCGCAATAAACAAATTAAATTTGCTTGCAAATAGCCCCCTCCTCTACCTTCTGCCTGCGCTCCTCTTCCCTTCTGCAAGAAGAGATAGGTCTCTTCTCGCTGCCTCCTCTTTGGACCGGCGATTCTCTGCTTGTTTCAGGAGCGTGCATCGCTTGAGGTTTTGTTGTCGGCGACGGCAGTTCGGCGTGGAATCGTAGCGATCTGGGGGAATTCGGGCCCCTGTATTGGTTGGGGGTGCTGTGGCGGCGGCGATCAGAGGGGTTGATGATTGCTTTGGGGTAATTCGGTTTTGTTTTTGGAGTGCGTGGACGAGGAAGGGGAGGGAGTTTGGAGAAGGTGTGAAGGATCGGCGGATGGGTGCATGAAACGTACAAGGGTGGAGGAGTGTTATATGGGCTCCCAGCTGAAGCGGCCTAACTTGTCGAGAACGGATCCGTGAGTCTTTGGCTTTGTTTTTGGTTCCTGTCTTCGTTGTTGCTCTTTTTTTTATTGTTATGACTGGAGTGTTTTTTTTTTTAATATATATATATATATATATTTTTTTTTTCTAGTTTATGCGGTTGGAGGTTCTGGCTTGTTCTTGGTTGACGGGGGATTTTGATTTTGGATATTTAATTTGTGTTTGTTTTTTCTATGTTTGGAGAAGTGGGTTGTTATGCTTGTGTTTCTGTTTGGGAAATACTATCTGAGGTATGGGTTAATTGGGGGTGCTAGATGCTCGGTGCTTTTGGATTTATATATCTTTTAGTGATTTAGAGAATTGGATTGCTTGATCTTTTCAAACTTTGGATGATGATTTTGAAGCCGCTATTCAGATAGGTCTTCGATGATATTTTTTATACTCACTGCTCTCTTAGCGTGAACTTTATAATATTTGATCTGTGGTAGTTTCTATACTCAGAATGATGAGTTGGGAGGGCGGGAAGGAGGGTTGGGTTTCTTTGCTGTTTCCCTCTTATGGAGTTGACATGTTTTGGATCTAGGATGATTTATTTGAGTTTTGTGGTCTTTTTGTAGGCTTGGGCAACCGCAAATGGCTCCTGCAGCTGCTGCAAGCAGTACTCAGAAGTTGACAACTAATGATGCCTTGGCTTACTTGAAGGCTGTTAAAGACATATTTCAGGACAATAGGGAGAAGTACGATGAATTTCTGGAAGTCATGAAGGATTTTAAGAGCCAGAGGTCAGCTTACATCAGCTATGAATGTCTTAGATTTACTTATTTTTAGTTGATTTATTCATTAATGATTGTTTTTTACTCCCCATGACATGTTTTAATGGATTTTCTCTTATACTTTTGGTTGCAGGATTGATACTAGTGGAGTAATAATGAGGGTGAAAGATCTTTTTAAGGGGCATCGTGATCTTATCTTGGGTTTCAACACCTTTTTGCCTAAAGGCTATGAAATAAAGCTTCCTGAGGATAAGAAGCCTGTGGAGTTCCAGGAGGCTATTAGCTTTGTGAACAAAATTAAGGCACTGAAAGTTATAATAGAGCATTTGCTAATTTCGTTTGTTTACTTGAATCACTTCTTAGGATTAAATCTATTTATTTTCTGGCTGCAGAATCGATTTCAGAATGATGAACACATTTACAAGTCCTTTTTAGATATTCTAAATATGTATAGAAGGGAGAACAAATCAATCCATGAGGTTTACCAAGAGGTATTCAGTCATTATTCTGGGCAAGTGCATATTTGATCTTTTATTTGTTTTTACTAGTTCCAACAACCAGGGTCATATTCTTTCCATTGGTGGCAGTGCTTTTGAAAATAATTATTATATACAATTAAAGTTTTAATGCCTACTGGATTTGTTTTTTGAAGTCCAATTAACCATAATCATTTTCTATAGGTGGCAGTGCTTTTTGAAAGTCATCATGATTTACTTGAGGAATTTACACATTTTTTACCCGATGCCTCCGCCACAACTGCTCAACATGTATTATCTGGTAAATCCTTTTCCAGGCGTGATGAGAGGGGCTCTGTGATGACAACCATGAGACATCCTCACATGGAAAAGGTATCTCTCTAAAACTTTGATGCTGTGGTCTATTTATATGATCTACCACTAAACAGCATTTTTTTTTTTTTAATTTTGCAATTTGATGTAGCTATTGCATGTAAAAATCTTAACATGTGAGAGCTATATTCTAGTGTTACTATTGAAACATTAAATTATTGATGTCTGTTTACAAAGTCACTTATCACTTTTGTTTGCGCTCCAAAGCACTTTTCTTTTGCTTGTTCTATAGCTATATCATTTTGTGATTGAATACCTAATGGCACTTGCATCTCTATTTTTCAGAAAGAGAGGGCTTACAACTCGCATTCTGAGCGAGACCTTAGTGTTGATCGTCCTGATCCAGAAATTGAGAGGCAGAGGAGACGTGCTGAGAAGGAAAATGATAGAAAGGAAGAAAGAGATAAAAGAGAAGGAGATGGAGATGAAAGGGACATGGAACATGATAGCAAGGATTTGGACATACAGACGAAAAGGAAGATTTCTCGTAGGTTTGATGACTCCAACGACCAGATGCACCAAGGAGGAGGTGGTGACGAATTTGGAATCTACAACATAGCTGGTTCTTCAGTTGATGATAAGAATGCCATGAAAAGTAATTATTTTTGCTCTATTTTCTAATAGCAGAGTTTGTAAATTCCAAGCAAACTGTTTCCATTCCTTTTCTTGGTTGTTTTTAATCAATCCTTCTGTTTGATTTTGCCAGTGTTTGTTTTTCCCAATGTACTTGGTTTTTAATTAAGTTTATGATCATTTTTTATGTTATTGCTTAAGCTTGTTAATGAAGCAGTTTTCCCAGCCTAGAACAAGCAAACTCACATCGCAATTTTATATGATTCCTCAGTCTTAATGTATATCTTAAACTTGAACTCCTGCCCTCATTTTATTTGAATTTCTATAGTTTCCTAAAGTTCTGTAATATGAATTATTTTAATTGATTCTTTCAATTGCTTTTGTGCTTTTCTTTTTTCCTACCATGTCATTAGAATGTTTATATTGGTTTAAACTTATATTTTTATTGAAATTTATGGTTTGTGTTCGACGTTTATGATTAGGTGGATGAGTGCTTTACACTTAAAGACAAAATGCGAAATGAATGACAAAATTAGAGAGTCATAGAGAGTCATCTTAGATGGTTTGGTCTCATTAAACGTCGACCATTTGATGGTTCGATTAGGAGTGTAGATGTTTTAGATTTAACTAATGTTAAAAAAGGCAGAGGTAGACCTAGGAAAACTTGGGCTTATTGTATAAGAAATGATCCTTATTGTATTATAAGAAATGATCTTAATTTATTAGAACTAAATGAAAATATAACACTAAATAGGATGCAATGGAGAAAAAAAATTCATGTAGCCGACCGCACATAGTGGGATTAAGACTTTGTTGTTGTTGTATGGTTTGTGTTTGATAGATTGATTTTAAAATGAATTTATGCAGTTCACATATTGTTGTTAATTGGATTCTGGTTCCTGGTGTATCTAGTACCTGTAGTGTTCTTCTTTATCATCATGGCCTCATGTTATGATAGTTTTTTCAGGTGTATACACGCAAGAATTTAATTTTTGTGAGAAAGTGAAGGAAAAGCTGCAGCCAGATACGTATCAAGAGTTTCTGAAGTGCTTACATATATATAGCAAGGAGATCATTACAAGAACTGAACTTAAGAATTTGGTACAGTTTCTTCTTTTCTGTAACATGTCTCATATAATTACTATGTTACTTCTGTTTAACATACAACTAGCAATTTTTTTTTATTATATTGTCTTCCTGCCCTTTTCTATGCCTTTTACTGTGCTATATATATATATATATATATATATATATATATAAATCTTCTAACCCACTCTCGGTGTCTGATTTGCTTTACTGTTGTATAAATTCATTATGTTATCATTGTTAAGATTTTGGGGATGTAGGGCATGGGTTTCCTTGTGCTTGGTGGTGTAAGTATTTTTATTAAGGTTGATATAATAGTTTTAACAAAAAAAATTGATTGGATTATAAATATGAGTGTGAGTAGTGCTTCAAGATTAATAGTTATGGTGTAGCTTATGCTGTGGAAACTACCATTGGAATTGAGAGTAGATTTTAGTGATAGATGGGCCATTAGATTTGTGATAGTCAATGAAACAAATTTTCATGCATTTAGGGCCATATATCTATTTAGAAAAGCATATGCAGGATCTGCCTAACTTGGACCATAATTATAAGATGTTATTTGGCTCATGTGGTTGCAATATTTTTTATGCTGGCACATTTCTATGACTTGTGGAGTGAAATTTATATATCATTACAATGACTTTAAAGGTTTGTTTGGGGCAGCTGCAGTTGTTTGAAAAAGCAGCTATGAAGTTGTTGCAAAAGAAGTGATAATTCAAAAAGTTGCGGTCGCTATTACATTTCTTTTTTTTTCCCAAAAAATCAGATCGCAACTTTCTAGCAACCATTGCATTTAGCCATGTCCGGTTGCAAAATGCAGATTTCAGCAGCAATTTTTTAATAAAGCTGGTAAAACATGATTTTGCCAATCTGAAAAAAGTGCGGTGCGGCTTTGTCAAACATAGAATAGTGCGGTGCGGCATCGCCACCGCACCGCTGCCCCAAAACACACCTTAAGCCCAAATAATCTTTTGTGGTTGAGCTCAATGTTTGATATTTTGGTGTAAATTGTCTGAGAAATTAGATGCCTTGGATTTGAAAACCAACACAACCCAACTTGTATTGAATATTGAATATTTGGCATTAGCATTTTGACAGACCCCTGAATAGAAAAATGAGTTTTTGTGGTCTGAATGTTTGCTTGGGTTGATACCAGGATTAATTGATGATCCAGTGCAAACTCAAGATTCACTTAGTGCTCTTGTATAGTATCTGCTAGGATTTTAACATCCTACTTGGTTGAATCTAAGAAGTATGACTGGCTCTATATTTATAAGATGATGCTTCTTTTTTTATGAAGAAAATAAAACAAATGAGAGGGATAAAGGTCCCGTGGATGTTATGTTCTGGATCACTTCAAGGTTGAAGGTGCAATTCTATTGCATTTCAACTTAATGAGCAAACTTTCTGTATAATTATTTGGCGTTACCATCTTCCAATTCATGAATTGGAAGATGACATTTCTTCCAATTCATGGCAGTCATTTGGAGGAATTGATTTTGTTGAAAATTAGAACAATAATTTTAGTTAAATTAATCATGAAATGATACTTATGTGTTTCATTTGCATAAATTTCTTTTCAGGTATGGGTTTATTTCATAAAGAGTTTGCACACATCAATTTATGACTTTCACGATGCTTGAGTACATCTATGTTTTTGTTGCAAATTACATATTCCTGTCAACAAGCTGTATTCATAGACATATACACGTGAATTACTTGTTTCGTAGTTTATTTGTTTAATTTTTAGGGGCTGTTTAGTCAAGGCTTTTAATAGAATTTTTCACTGGATTTGGTAAAACCAGCCAAATAGCAAAATGCAGGAGTTTCATGGATTTATGAATTTGTCGGATTTAAGAAATCTAATTATGCCTTCAGTTTGGTGTAAATCCGGATTTACTAATCCAAGGAATGGGTGGATATATGGATTTACATGTTTTGGTATTTATTAAATCCTACTAACGTTAAATCCTAATTGCAGCCAGACAGCCCTTTAGATGGGCTCGAATGTATGTTGACATTTATTTTATGCACGAATATCCTGTGTCTTTTTTCATACTCACTAATAGGATTATTGTTTGCTTTTTGACCCAATTTAAAGGGATGGTCTGTCCGGTTTATAATTCTTACTCACAACTGTTTAATGTAATTTTCAGGTAGGTGACATTCTTGGAAAATATCCTGATCTAATGGATGGATTTATTGAATTTTTGGCGCACTGTGAGAATATTGGTAAGTTAAGGGTATTTCATTTAGTTTTGCTTTAATTTGAGACCTATGGATATGCCTGATGATTGCTAAATGAGAGTTTGTGATGCAGATGGATTTCTTACAGGCGTATTCAATAAGAGTATGTCAATTATTCCTTTTTTTTTCCCTCTATATATCTAGATTCTAGATGGATACAAATATATATATATATATATATATATATATTTATGCACTTACATATCTTTTCTCCTCCTAGGAGACTGTCTATCATGCTCCTATTTAAAATATCGCCCAATCTTTCTAACACCATTAAAATTATTGGAGCACATAATTTCAAATATTTTAAAGAGCATTTTACAATCCATTTGATGTATTAAATATTTCTTCACCGTTGCCTTTGATTCAAAGAAAGGGCATTTATGATTTTGTAACTGTCATTGACTTAAAATTCAATTATTGAATTGCTTGTGATGCTTTCACGTTTAGTTGGTTTTGATTTATAAAATATAGTGCTAGAAGAGATTATTAGGTGAGGCTTTTACAAGTCGTTTGGTCATCCTCATTTTACATGTTGGACCATGGTTAAATCTTTAAGAAAAATGATAAAATTCGTTCCATGATTAGTTTTGATGTTGTAGATGATTGTGAATGATCTAATTTTTTGTTTTAAGATCATAGAAGTCAATACACTCAAAAGTAACTTTTAAGGAGAATGTCTATTCTTCTTCTAAGAGGAGAATATATGTATGCACGTGAATCTGAAATTTTTTTGCATTTATTTTATTCGATATTGTAAAATATAAATATTTATTATTTTGCTCCTACAGAACCTTTATGGAATGAAGTACATGCAGCAAGGCCAGTGAAACTAGAGGATAGAGACCGGGATCGGGATCGGGAAAGAGAAGATAGGGAAAAAGAAAGGGAGAGAGATAAAGAGAGAGAGAGAGATAAGGAAAGGGAGCGAATTGACAGAGTTTCTCCATATGTCTCCAAAGAAGCAGCTAATAGCAAGGTTCCTTTGTTCTCAAATAAAGAAAAATATAATTTATACAAACCAATTTCAGAGCTTGATCTCTCGAATTGCCTGAGATGCACTCCTAGCTACCGTCTGCTCCCAAAAAATGTAAAGCATCTGGAGTACTTTGTACCTGCTATTTGTTTCACTGCTATTTGTGACGATGTTCTGAATCAAGTTTAATCTGCTTGGTTGAATCTGTTGATTGACAGTACCCAATGCCTGCTGCCAGCCATAGAACTGAGCTCGGTGTATCAGTACTAAATGATGTCTGGGTATCAGTGACATCTGGGAGTGAGGATTATTCTTTCAAACACATGAGGAAAAATCAATATGAAGAAAGTTTATTTAGATGTGAAGATGATAGGTAGCAATTTTTTTTCCCTTTATTTTGTTTTTGTTAAGCATGCAATTGCTTGATTTTAATTTTGCTTATTTAGTAAAAATTTAAAATGCCCGACGGGCCCTTAATTTCAGCCTAAAAATAACTTATTTTTTATGCTCAAGTTTGCCTCATATTTAGGGCTGTCAAAATGACTCGTTGTTTGCAAACAGTTCGTGTTCGGTTCGTTCGCTAAGTTAACAAGTCAAACACGAACAAAGATTTGTTCGTTCGTGTTCGACTCGTTTAGGCTCAAAATATTACATATATATATATATATATATAAATGATTATATATATATATATTGATGAGTAGTATTTTTAAAAAATTTAATTGACTACAAGTCTACGAAGATTTATAATCAATTAAAAGTATTAATTAAAAAAATAGAATAAAAATTATTAAATTAGATTCAAATGATGTTTTAATATAAACAATAATTTTTAAATCTTGCCCGAACCCTTAACATCTTATGAAACGTGATTAGGGTTGTCAAAACGACTCTTTGTTCGTGAACAGCTCGTGTTCGACTTGCTAAGCAAACGAGCCGAACACGAACACACTTTTTGAGCACGAAATATAAACAAGTCGAACTCGAGCTGAGCCTAGGCTCGTTCTTGTTCAGCTTGTTTACACCCCTACTCATATTTGATTTTTTTTTTGAAAGTCAAGTTTTTTGTGTGCCTATTTATTTTAAAATGTTTAATCACGAAATTATCCCCCAGACTATTCAGATGCGGTTAATTTAGTTATATAATTTTGTAGTGCTTCAATTTAGTTCCCCACTATTAAAATTGATCTCAATAAATCCCCTAGTGACTATATTGAGATCAATTTTGTATAGTGAACTGAATTGTGATAATTTTGTGTCATAATTTCTAACGAGGGACTAATTGAGATTGTTTTTCAGTAGTAGGGGGACTATATTGGAGCACTGTAATATTCTAGAACTGATTTGGCCCCATCCAAATAGTCAAAGGACCATTTTGAGATTTATTCCTTAGTTTTAATTTTTTTATTTCTAATCATTGTTGGGGGTGCTTATATTTGTAGGGGTGCACAGGTACACTTTGAATATCAAATTGTTTGATTATGTTTGTTTTGATGGTGTCAGGTTTGAGCTGGACATGTTACTAGAATCCGTAAACGCAACTACCAAACGTGTGGAGGAATTGCTTGAGAAGACGCAGGATAACACTATCAAACCAGAATCTCCCTTTCGCATTGAGGATCACTTTTCATGTAATTGTTCATTAATATTGTATTTCCTGTTTCCCAGCTTGTTTCTTTTCCAGCTTTTTTGTACTCACATTTTAACCCATCTTTTTTTAAATAGCTCTAAACTTGAGGTGCATAGAACGGCTATATGGTGATCATGGCCTGGATGTAATGGATGTTTTGCGTAAAAATGCGAGCCTTGCACTGCCTGTCATATTGACTCGTCTGAAGCAGAAACAAGAGGAGTGGTCCAGGTGTCGTGCTGATTTTAACAAGGTCTGGGCTGACATTTATTCCAAGAACTATCACAAATCACTTGATCATCGCAGTTTCTATTTCAAGCAACAAGATACAAAGAACTTGAGTGCTAAAGGTACGTGGCAGTATGTCTCAGCTTGTTAAGATCCACTGTTATCAGGACTACTTTCTGATTTATTAGCATAAACTTTTCCTTGTAGTTTTGCTGTCTGAAATCAAAGAAATCTCTGAGAATAAAAGTAAAGAGGATGATGTTCTTCTTGCTGTTGCTGTTGCTGCTGGAAATAGGAGGCCTATAGTTCCTAATATGGATTTTGAATATATTGATCGAGACATCCATGATGATCTCTTTCAGATCATAAAATATTCATGTCAAGAAGTGTGCTCGTCCACAGACCAGCTGGATAAAGTAGTGAGGATATGGACAACATTTCTGGAGTCTATGCTGGGTGTTTCTCCCCGACCTCAGCGAACAGAGGATACCGAGGATTTAACAAAATGTAAAGGTCGTGCTAAAACTAATGTAATCAATACAGGTGAAAGTAATGGTAATCTTGCCACCGATGTAGCAATTGCTAATGCCAAGTCAATTAATGGTGATATTGGCATTCCACGAGAACAGGCAAATTTGAGCAAGGCTAGATTAGCTAATGGAGATGCAATGGTTCTTGAGAACGGTTTTCATGATGTTGACCGACCAGTTCATCGAAATGATAGTCTCACAGGCACTCCTCTTCTTGGAAGATTGCAGATCAATGCTCCAGTGTCTGGTGAAATGTCTGCATTAACCGAACAAGCTGCTCAAACGGAATGTTTAATGCACAATATTACTGCCTCTGCTACCAGAGTAAATATAGATGCGATGTCTGGTAAGCTCCTGTTGAGATATAGAACTCTAGATTCCTTTCTCGTTTCCATTTTTTTTGAACTAGTTCAATGGGATTTTGTTGTTCTTTCCACAAAGGGATCAGAGCCACTTCAATATCCGGTCATACTGGAACTGAGTCAGGTGTTGAGCCACGGATTATTACTGAAGTTTTTCCACCTTCAGAGGTGTGCTCCGAAGTTTAATTTGTTTCTAAATTTCTTATCTGATTCATTGTTGCTTATAATTTCATAGCTATTTTTTCTTCTCTGTTTTTAATCAAAACTTGCTTTTATCTGAATAAGTTATTGTCCAACATTTATCTAGGCTCAGACAATTGGATGCTGGTTTGCAGGGTCATTAGTTGTAATTCCATGCTTGTTAAGTAGGTCGGGCTGCCTTTTCATAACTCTTTCTTTTTTTGTAATATCTTCCATTAATGACGTTTCATTGGAATTTTCTTTTCGTTAGATTTTTTTTTTAGTTCAGATATTTCAGAGGCTGGCTGCTGTGATCAATCTTATCTTTAACATGCATTAATAATTTTTTGTGGCCTTCACACTCCATGCTTGTGCAAATTCAAGTGCACAAACTGTATGATGATTCAATCATTTCGAAAAAATTTGAGCGAAAATAGAATATATAGTTAGGTCAAAATTATTTGCTATACTTCACAAATCATAAACAAGTATTCATATTGTACATCCGATTTTGACGTTGTTTCATTTTCACCTAGGTATTTTCTATTTTTGTGAAATTTCAATGAACTCGTTGTTCTATAGTATTTTTTACATTTTAATAAAAAATATAGCGGGAAAGATTTTTTCTATATAAATGATAAGATATTTAGTTTTGCAAGCTAATGTCTTTTATGTTGATTTTCTGTAGTTCTAAGCAGAAAACATAGAATGAGTTTATAAGTTTAAATGCTAAAAGTTATTGTATGTCTTCCAAATTTCTATCTTACAATAGCATGCGAAAGGGAAATATAAAGAAAAAGAAGCGATTTGAGGATAATTTTTGAGTAAATCTGTATATAATATATTAAAAGGGATGGATATAACTAGAGGATAAAAGTTCTTTGTATGATTTTATTTTTAATAAAATAGGAATACATTCTGAGAGTAAAGATGAAAGGCCTAAGAAAGTTTTATCATTAATAGTTACTAAGGGCTTATTTAGGATCACATTTTTTTTCTTTTTGTTATTATTTAAAAAGATATATTTGTTTAGTATGTTTTATTTTTATTTTATTTTTATTTTATTTTTTTTTATTTTTATACATAAATCAAATAGTTTTTAAAGACAAAATAATGTTTAGGTGTTTTTAGTGTTTTCATAAATGAAAATTAGCATTGGTTGTCACCATAATCGCCATTGCCTCCATTGTTGCCAACAACCAACGCTGTTATCATCTCGTCGACAACTACCATTTCCTCGTCGATGACCACCTTCACTATTGCAAAAGTAAATAAAACTATATTTTTTAGATTTCATACATCTTTTATTTGAAGTCAACATAAATAAAAGAAAATAAAACAAATAAAGGTGATTCTAAATTGCTCCTTAATTTTCTCAAGCTTATGAATTTTGATGGTTCGGATTTTTTTTATTTTTTTTTTGGACTTATGTCGAACAGGTATACAATGAAAGCTATACATTTATGAGAGGTTTGATGGAAAAGTTTAGAGATAATAAGGAGGATCTACATTTGATTTTTATTGATTTAGAAAAAGCTTACGATAAGGTTCCAAGAGATATCTTTTGGAGAGTTCTTGAGAAGAAAAGTGTTGATATGACTTATATTAAAGTCATTAAAGATATGTATACTAAAGCTGTTACTTGTGTTCGAATTGGAGGATTGACCAAATTTTCATGGAGGATTGACCAAATATTTTCATATTTCTGTTGGATTACATCTGGGATCGACTTTAAGCCCATATCTTTTTGCTTTAGTTTTGGATGGTTTTACTGGGCATTTGCAGGAGGATGTACCTTGGTTTATGCTTTTTGCTGATGATATCCTTCTCATGGGTAAGACGAGAGAAAAAACCTAGGAAAAAATTGAATTATGTAGGTCTACATTGGAGTCTAAACGCCTTCATTTGAGTAGAACTAAAGCTGAATACATGGAATGTAATTTTAGTAGCAGCAGCTCTAGTGACAAAAGTGCAAATTTGGGTGATCAAAATATTAAAAGGTGTGAACTATAGCTGAATACATGGAATGTAATTTTAACAGTAGAAGTTCTAGTGACAAAAGTGTAAATTTGGGTGATCAAATTATTAAAAGTTGTGAACGATTTAGATATATTGGGTCTGTTGTTCAAAGCGATGTGATATTGATAGGGATGTTAATAGTAGAATTCAAGTTGGTTGGTCAAAGTGGAGGAATTCTTCGAGTCTTTTATGTGATAGAAAAGTATTGCTTAGACTTTTATAAGATAGTGGTGATACCTGCAATGCTCTATGGTGTTGAATGTTGGCCTTTAAAAGAGAAGCATAATACTAATTTAAGTGTTGCCGAGATGAGAATAATTAGGTGGATGAGTGGCTTTACACTTAGAGATAAAATGCGAAATGAATATATCTATGATAGGGTTGATGTAGCTCCTGTGACGGACAAAATTTGAGAAAGTCGTCTTAGATGGTTTGGTCACATTAAATGTCGACCATCTGATGAACTGATTATGAGATTAGATGTTTTAGATTTGACTTATGTTAAGAAAGGCCAGGTAGACCTAGGAAGACTTGGGCTTATTGTATAAAAAATCATCTTAATTTTTTAGCGCTAAATGAAAATATGACACTAAATAAGACGCATTGGAGAAAAAGGATTCATGTAGCCAACCTCACGTGGTGGGATTAAGGTTTTGTTGTTATTGTTGATTTATTTATTTATTTATTTATTTTGGCGATTTATGAGAGTTTAGATTAATTCTTTTAAATTACTATGAAAAATGATTTAGTTCAAGGTTAGGTGTAAGCTATTAGCAAAATGGACATGAATCACAACAAAAAGTTTTGCTCCTTAATGAGATGAATGCCTCTGTGAAACTAAATATTGAAGTTTATAATATATAAATTTGTGCACATACGGACTAATTCCTATTCTAGTTTGTTCCTTGATCTGGATTCTACGGCTAACCTTGTTGATGAAAGGGACCAACAGTTTGTTATTTGGGCTGATTTGTGTGGTGAAGGAATAAACAAACTTGAGATGGTTGTAATCATTAATGGATTTCAATCGATTCTTCTCAGGGAAAATTTTGTAGTCAAACAAGATATTTAGTTTGTTTAGTTGATCACTTAATTGTAAATTTGGTTTTCTAGAGGTAATTTAGGTGTTGGTCTAAGACAAATAAAGTTTTTTTTTAGTCCCGGTCAATCTTATGTAAGTTGTGTTGATGGCTTAGAATTTAGCTTATTACAAAAGAGTATTGTACTTAGCAGAGAATAAAATATATCAAATTTTAAAGAATTTGATGGATATTATTTCTCGAGTTATTTTTTATTCTGGATTTTAGATCATGAAGAGGGTAATTAGTCTAATAGCTCACCTCAAAGAATTTTATAAGAAGATGCATTCCTAGCTATTTAGGCACTAGTTCATGAAAATATTGGAAATCATATTCGTTAAAGCATTAATGATTCAATTTTTTCATGCAAATTGCAAATGGTGTTGGTTTTTAGATCACATTGTTGATATTGAAAATGATATTGTTTGGAGGCCATGGGTGCAATTAGATTTCAATCAAACACCATACAAACTCGATAGAGGCCTTATCTGGTGGGCTGTTGAATTAAAGCTCAGATTACATTAAGGTGAGGATGAATTTGTATGCTTAGATAAGCTTATTGTTGAATTTTTAATTTAGTATTAGGGCAATTCCGAATTATCTTTTAATTGAACTTAATTTGTTTGTTATTGTATATATAATTTAATCTTTATGGGGATTTACACAATTATGAATTTACATATCTAACACCTAAACTTTAATATTTATATTCATAAAACTCAAATTGTTACATCATATCAAAGGCGCCACTAAAACTAATTTTTTAGAAGTTAAATGTTCCTTCTTGTGCATAGGCTTTGATTTGAATATAACAATAAAATGTTATTGTGTATACATCAAACTCTAGGTGTTAGATATGTAAGTACATAAGAATTGTGGGGTCTATTTGTAAATTTCTATTAATCTTTTTGTGGAATTTGTTTAGGAGTAAATTATATTTTATTCTTTGTTCTAATTGCCTAGTTAGAAAGGCCATATTTCGTGTGAGGAAAATAATTGCAATTTTCTAAAAAACGTTGTTGCTTTCTACTTTTCTCCAGCCGAATGCCTTAGCTGCAGACCTTCGTCCCCGGTGTTTAGTTCTGTTTAACTTAGAATTGAAATCAATTTGGTTTGACTCAAAGATGCTTTGCTCGAATTTAGTTCTGTTTAACTCAATATATGATATCACAAGTCTGTTTTCACACACACACACATGCATGCATACATATACATGACACGTTTTCGTGCATGCATAAACACCAATAATATATATAAATATAAATTTATATGTTTTTACTCAGACACATTTTATATAAACTTTATAATGAAATACTAAATATAAATGTATGCATGTATACTCCTAAGTAGAAGTTAAATGGTTTTTTTTTTTTTTTTTTTTTTTTTTTTTTTTGATAGAGTTGGTTTTAATTATCTCGAAAATTGACTCAAAATTGATCATTTTAGGCTTGAATCAAATGGGATTTTAGTCAAAGTTAAATTTTGATTTCAAGTTAACTATGGCTTGCTTAATTTCTAATTGACTTAGAATTGCTTAATTTTTAATCGTTTGGAATTTAATTTTCATTGAATTTAGATAAATTTACTATGACTTAAAGATGGCTTCATGCAAAACTAGTTCTATCTATTTTCTCTTAGACACACACACTTATAGAATTTGCTTAAATTATATAGAAAATTGACTCAATGATTACTCAAACCCAGAATTTTAGATGTTGACTTTAGGCTAGCTTGTCGAACTTGACTTCACATCATTCTTATAGGTTTGTTGACTAAAGACAAATATGGGCATTAATGGTGTTAGCAAGGTCATTTTATGGTGTTGTTGATCACATAAAATCTGATTTACTAAATTAAGAGCGAAGGAATATTATTGATCTATGAAGAATTTCATGTAGCCGACCCCGTTTAGTGGGATAAAGACTTGTTGTATGAAAAATTTCAATTATTGTTACCTGATTTCATTTTTCCCTCTAAAGAATCCTTGATCTACCTTTTGTTTCCCTTGATTTCACCCTCGATCTTTCTATCAACCCAATAATTTGTCACTCCCATTGTAGATCAACATGCATCTAGAAACTTTGTTTATATTTCTCTCTAAAGAAACCTTGATCTACCCTTTGTTTCTGTTGATTACACCCTCGATCTTTCTATCAACCCAATAATTTGTCACTGCCATTGTCGATCAACATGCGTCTAGAAATTTTGTTCTGATGTCTAACCTAGGATGGCTTAAAATACCACATCTAGATAGCTGAACTTGTTCTTGTTACTAGCTCAACGCATATTTAGAAGTAAACCCGGCATGATGACTCAACTTTGTGGCTTAGCTAGGCCTGACTTAATGTGCATGATCCGACCAAGAAATATGAAAAGTTCTCAAATTAAGAAACAATTTTTAATGATCGACTTAGTGAATACTTCATTTACTCAAGGACATTGATATATTCCTTAGAAATCAGGGGCCCTTACTACAAATTATTCCATGGGGAAGCTTAGGCCATAATTATTGAGCATGTGTTGGATCTATTATCAAACTCATGATCTCATTGCAGAGAACAATAGATTGGAAAGGCATCTTTCAACTTTCACCTTCCCTGAGTATGAATATTGGAGTTTCCTTTGAGTCATGAGCTTTAAAATGTTGTTATACAATGCCTTTTCAGACCTGAACTTGATATGCCAAATATTATTGTTTTTTCATGGCCTAGTATGGCTTAAGCCTACACCACCAGTGATCATCTGAAAAGTTTGTATGCATTTCAAATTCATTGTTTGCAGATCGACCCACCTAGACCCTCTTTCCTTAAATGTGCATGTATCCTGGAAATTTACTATTGGAGAATCTTGAATATAATCTCTCCAAAATTTCATTCATTTTTAACTCATGTCACGTGCTCCTCATGGGCTTCTCCGACACAAGGATTCTGCCACCTCTTTACATTCCTCCTCACCTTCAAGTTTTATTCCACCCCAAGGAGCCATCGGTCTCTCCAAGTTTTTCATCAATAACATTTATAGACTTTGGCTAGTCATCTATTTTGTTTGACAGAGAACTTAGCTTCATCACCTCCTTCACGGAGTCTTTTATCTATTCCAACCACCTCTTGATAGCACCAATAAGTTTTCAAACCCAAGATAGAGCATGTGCCGCATTCTTGGCAAAATCATCTATGCCATCAATTTGAGCTACTTTTTTATTACTTATGTAACACATTTGATTATCACTAATCAATATAAAATTTATGCAACCCCTAGATTGATGAAGCATCTATTACTTTGCATGGTAGCTCAACACCTCACTTCTCCCTATCATAACTCCAATCCCTTGCCACTATAGCCTCAAGTTAAATTTGATATTATTACATCTCTTTTAAAGTTTGTGCGTAGAACATGGTTTAAAATTGCTCAATTTAAGACACATTTCAACACTTTCTGGGCAATTTTGTAATGAGGTGGGGGCTTGTATGAGCTGTGCCTTGCCTCTAGATGTATATGGTGCGAGCCTCATATTATTTAGTGCTAGGGAGTTTAAAAAAATAAATATTAAAATAATGTTGCATATTAAAAATCTTTTTATCACACCTCACCCTTCACATCCTGTGCCCTTCTCGCTTTTAATCTCACTCAAAACCCAACCCCCTTTAGGCTTTGACATCTTTACCAAGCTTTTCTTTCCTCACTATAGTCGACCATCTCTTACTTTGTTGTTTTTCTTGTGACCTCCGTGGCAAGCCTTACCTGTTGTTTTTCTTGCGAACCATCAAGGGACGCATTCTCTTTTTTCTCCTTTTTCTCTTCTTACCTGTTCCATTTTTTATTTTAAAATATTTTCTTTCAGTATTTTCTAAAATGTTAATAGGCAAGGAAAAAAAGCATATTTGGACATAAAATATACACAACATGGAGGCATAGTGTGCAAGTTAAAATTGAAGGGAATGATGTGTGTTTATTTAAAGTGAAAATATTATGAAAAAAATTATTAGAAGTTTTATGAGAATGAATGAGTACTTTTATGGCTTTCATAATATTGTCATAATATTTGCTAAGATGCTTGAGGAAGTCATGAAAGAGGAGATTCATTCATATATGAACCAGGCGGTAATGTCAAATCCTTTAGCATAATGATAGTTTGATGATAGAATAGATGTTGAATTTTAGCATGATAGTATTACAAATGTCAAGTAGAGTGTGCAAGAGTACCTATGGATTAATATATGATAAATTTGAAATATAAAGAAAATATGATGTCATGAGGCTAGAGGCTCGATTCCAAGTTATGAATAGTGGATTTTTTTAATGAAAATATCGTTCTATTTAATTGACAAACTCACTTTCTTATATATGGTTTAGGAATGAAGCCATGCTATTTCAGTATTATTATCTAGTTTTTAATATTTATTGGTTGAAATAAGGAAGGATTCTCTTAATTATTATTATTATTATTTTTTTTTTAATTTAGTTGAATGATCGATTCAATTGGGCGATAATACCTCAGAATAATCGCAATTGGTTGCTAAAGTATTGAGGCTTATGTATTCATCATCTTGTTGTGAACAAAATTAGTGTATATGCAATCAAATTCATCCCAAAAGGAAATGTTTGAGTACCTTAAGAATGAATATTTTAGTTCATATCATGTAGAACAAGAGAATAAATGACAAACAGGCAAAAAAAGGATTTAAATGATGAAGATATTTTATTTTATAATGATATGCTATTAGATGATGAATGATTTGTGTATGATAATACTGGCGTTATTCCATCTGATTTGCAACAAGAATATCTTAACTATGATTTATTTGATCAAGGCAAGCAAGATAAATATGTATAACAACAACCAATAAGAAGTAAAAATAATTCTATAAAAAATTAAGCATTTGAAGTGGTAATCATCAACTTATTCATTATTTTAAAGTTCAGTTATTATCTTTATTGATTATTATTTATTGGGGAAAAGGAAGATGATTGAGTTTGATGATGAGAAGAAGATTGTGTGAATATTTGCGTACCTAAGGGGCATGATAGAAAGAAAATTGTTGTCATAGATATCAGTAAAGACTAACTGAGTAATGATAATGTGTGCTGGAGACTTCTAATAATTCTAATTTTGGCGTCTGATTTTTTGATATGTTCTTACTTTGATATTGGACATTAGTAGTGAGAGATTTATTGTGTTTAACATATTTTGAATTGTTATGTTATTAGTTCTTGCTTGGATATTTTATCTCACTTTATTTATTGTATAGTACTTCTTATTTCATTAATTTTATCATAGGGTGTTAATATGTTATTTGATATTTTACATCATTTTTTATTTCTTACTACGCTAGGATGCTTGCATATTACTTGTTAATATGTTAAAAGGTTATGGTGTCAATACTTCTTATTTTGTATAATTTGTTGGTTCTAAGAGACTTATACTTTGAAATGCCTCAAGACTTGCACCCCATTTCATGTACTTAAACACCTCAATTACTCAATTTTAAATTTTGGGTTAGAGAGCAAGTGGTTTGAAGACGGGGCTTGATTAGGGAGAGAATCTAAAGGGAGAGGTTGGATGGCTTGGCAGAGGGGGAGAGAGTGGTGATGGGATGGATGCCTAGGGTTGTGAGAATAATTTACGTTAATTTTTAACCATCAATTATTGCATCCATTAAGTTTATATACGATAGGGTAATTCTTAAAAGAAAATTCAAAATACATGTTATACTCAATTTCAAATTAAACAAGCTAGAATTTCGAACTAATCTGGAAAATAGCAACTAATAATACAAATAGGAGATTTGAATGGAAACCTATTAAAAAAATTCCTTTATTTAGCCGACCAATTGGAGAAAGAGAGGGATAGTTCAACCTTTTGTGTATTGGTTTATCTTTGTATTTTATGATTCCTTCTTGTTTTTTTAATCAAGTTTAGGTCTCCTTTTTGTTTGAATACCTATTAGCATGGCCTCTATTGGCATATGGTTTTGGATTTTGATTTTGATTCTTATTCTCTAGTATATTTTTTAGGCACCTGCAAAGCTTCGTAGGACTTTATGAATACTTTTGGGAAGTTCCATAAGCTTTAGAATACTATGTAGAATATTTTAGAATTTTATGAATACCTCCTGCATCACTCCTACTACAGCTGTATCTTCTTATTAAATCTCATCACCGTGGCTAAATGTTATGAACATGCTCATAGATAAAGATGCATATTTTCACAAAATTTTCGTATCTTTCTTTTTTCAAACTTACATACACTCCCTGATTCCTTTTTTTCCTCCTTGATCCACACATTTGCCTTTTATTTCCAGGGAGCAGGTTCTTCGAGATTGATTGTATCCAAAAATAATGGTGAAAATGGTAAAGTTCATAACTTTCGTGATGGTACTGGCGCTCAAAATGAGAGAGAGGAGGGAGAGTTATCACCAAATGTAGATTTTGAAGAGGACAACTTTGTGGCTTTCAAGGATTCAGCCATGGATGCATCAGCTAAGGCAAAGGATGGTTCTGCTGGTAAACTATATAAAATAAGAGCAGGAGAAGTGGAAGCCTGTGGTGAGGCTGGAGGAGAGAATGATGCTGATGCTGATGATGAGGGTGAAGAAAGTGCCCATAGATCTACAGAGGACAGCGAAAATGCTTCTGAGGCGGGAGAGGATGTTTCCGGCAGTGAATCAGATGAGGGGGAGGAGTGTTCCCCTGAAGATCATGGTGAGGACGATGCGGATCACGATGATCAAGATGCGAAGGCTGAAAGTGAGGGTGAGGCTGAAGGAATAGCTGATGCCCATGATACCGAGGGTGAAATAACTTCATTGCCCTTTTCAGAACGCTTTCTGTACACAGTTAAACCTCTTGCTAAGCATGTGCCGGTTGCATTACAAGAAAAAGATGTTAAAGGCTCAAGAATTTTCTATGGAAATGATTCTTTTTATGTCCTTTTTAGGCTTCACCAAGTGAGCTTTCTCCTCCCTCTAATGAAAATGAAAAAGTGTCAAAATAGTCCTTTATTTACATTGGGTCATTTCAGTCCCAAAATCTATAAAAGTATCAAAATTCATAGAATCTTTTAATATGAGCTAAAATAGGCCCGGAGAGGACTATTTTAGCCCCCGCTAATGGAATGTTGGGATTAAATTGACACTTTTTATAGACTATGAGACTAAATTGACACTTTATGCTATGGGGCTAAAATGACTCCATGTGAAGAGTTAGGGGATCATTTTGACATTTTTCTCAACCAAAAATGTTTTACTTGATATCTGAAAGTTGATTTTTGACCAGCTTTTCCATAGCTTTTGAAATGGCAGACCCTTATTCTCTTGAAAATATTCTTCTAGATTATATAATGGGTTATTAAATGATTTCTTGTTACAGACTCTTTATGAAAGGATACTTTCAGCCAAGAGAAATTCATTGGCTGCTGAAAGAAAGTGGAGATTTTCGAAGGATACAGGCCATCCTAATCAATATGCAAAGTAAAATATGGTTCCACGTTTGTCTTTTATGATAATTATTGGTTTGAGAAATTAATATTTAATCTGAATGTTGCAGGTTTATGAGTGCATTATACAGTCTACTCGATGGCACGGCTGATAATGCAAAGTTTGAAGATGATTGCCGAGCTATCATTGGAACTCAGTCCTATGTTCTTTTTACATTGGACAAATTAATTTATAAAGTTGTTAAACAGGTAAAGTTTGTTATATTTATCACTCTCATCTTGATGTATTTAGGAAGTCTAATCATTGGCCTAATACTTTCAGCTTCAAGCCATTGCATCGGATGATGTAGACAGTAAACTCCTTCAGCTTTATTTTTATGAAAGGTCGAGACGACCTGGGAGAATTTTTGATTTAGTGTATCATGAGAACGCACGTGTTCTCCTTCATGACGAGAGCATGTACCGATTTGAATGTGTATGTCAGACTACCCTTATCACGACCAATTTATTTTTGAAAGATTTACATACATACCACCCAATTCCTATGTATTTACATACTAGCACCGCCTTAGCTATGCATGAAATGGTGTATTTCACTTTCTAAATGCTAACATCATGGTATTTTTTATGTGACATGAAAGATTTGATCGGTGTAAATATAAAAAGTAAAATTTAGGTCTTAAATCATAAGAGTATTGAATCGTATGTATGTAAAAGTATCTTTATTTTTACATGCCAATGCTAAAAGCAGCTGCTTTTGAAAGAATTGCACTGGCTTTAGCTGAAAATCTGAATTGCTGGTGTATGGTGCAAAAATAAAATACAAGCAACATATAACCTCTTCTAACTTAGAGCTGATCTACATAGTTTCCTTTTAATTTTTCTTCCTTTTTTGCAGACTTCAAATCCAACCAGGCTTTCCATCCAGCTACTGGATTATGGGAATGAAAAGCCAGATGTTACAGCGGTTTCCATAGAACCCAATTTTTCAAATTACCTTTACAATGATTTTCTGTCCAGTGTTTCTGATAGAAGTGAGAGGCTTGACATATTTATGAAAAGGTACAGTTGAGTGGCATTTATATATTATTAGAAACTCTTTCAGTTACTTATTTTGTTCACCATCAGGAATAAAAGAAAATTCAGTAGCGACGAGGAGAACAGTCTTTATTCCAGGGCTATGGAGGGGATTCAACTTTTCAATGGTTTAGAATGCAAGATAGCAACTTTCACCTCAAAGGTACGTTCTATATCCTTTGAGGTCTATGTTTTGCATATGTTGGGGTGTAAATGAGCCAAGCTTGACTGAGCCAATTGTTCTTGTTTGGCTCTAAATGGCTTGTGAATAGTGTGTTGATGGTTGGCTTGATTCAAAATTATTTTTTTAACTGGAGTATTTTAAAAAGTAATACAAAATGCATAAAAATTAATATAAAAATAACAATAAATATTATTTGTTAATTTTTTAATTAATTTCAGCTAAAATGAGTTGAACATGATCAAATAAAGGTCTATTCATGTTCGGCTCCTATATAAAGCGTGCTAAAATAACTGTTTGGTGATCGGGTTCACTTGCTTAATGAGGAAATCAAACTCGAGCAACTCTATGAGCCAAGCATAAACTGTTTGCGAACAACTTTTTTTTTTTTTAACAGTGCATATATATAGCTGATTTGAACCCTGACACACCTTCCACCCCTTGGGCCTTTATACGAAATCCATATGCTGCAGGTTTCATATGTACTTGATACAGAGGACCTCTTAATACGCACCTCAAAGAGGAGGAGAAGTTTGACATATTGTCACAATCAGCCTCATTCTTTAAAGTCTTACGCCGCAAAAGTTCAGAAATTTCATCATTTTCAGGCCATGAACTTAACCTGACTCCCCTCGGAATACGAGGTTAGTTCGATTCGGGACATAAAATGGAATTTAAATATCCATGCCATATTTTGTTCTGGTTGCGAGTAAGGCCGCGCATTAACACCAATTGAAGTTTTGAACCTTACATTAAAGCCCTGCCTTAAACTGTGCAGTGAAAATTTACTATATTTGGTTGGTGGGGGTCATGCAGCCCTCTCGTCTCTAACCCTTAATTAGCATTCTGGGACACCATCAGCTTTCCTTCTTCCCTTCTGGACAACTACTCCATGCTCCAAAATAACTGCCATATAATGCATGGTAAATATTCCCCACGTAATGTGATTTTCAGGCCTCTCATCCACACCCATCTTGTACTCTCATCCACCACCCATCACGTACATATTAGTCAGATCAGAATTTGTTTGTTTGATTAGAATGCTTGTGCTTCTTTTTATTTTGGACAACTCAACAAGGCCTGTTTTTTTTCGTTTTTCATTTTCCTTTTAATATTAATATAGGGGGTGTAAATGAGTTGAATGTGAGCGAGTTAAGCTCCTATTTGTGTTCTGGTTGTTTGAAATTATCTGTTTGAAATAGGCCCGTTCGAAATTGTTCTTGAAATATATATATTCGTGATCATATAATGTATGGTAATATTCCCCACGTAATGTGATTTTCACGGCGTGATTGTCACGGCCGTGTATCATCCACCCATCTTGTACATATTTTAGTGAGTTCAGAATTTGTTTGTTTGATTATTTGATTAGAATCCTCATGCTTGTTTCTTTTATTTTTCATAGACTTCTCCCTTTTTTTTTTTTTTTTTTTTTTTTTTTTGGCCTTTTTTGAGCTGAATATCAGTGAGTTAATCTCATCATGTTCGTGTTCAAATCATTTTGAAATTAGTTATGTTCGAAATAGACTCGTGTTCTAAATTGTTTGTGAAATAAATGTTTAGATTTAGTTAAAATCGGCTCGAATCATTCGAATCGTTCAAAATAGGCGTGTCAGGGAGTCATTTATTGTTACTTTTTAACTTAGTTATTTTTGGTTTGTTTTTAAAATATAAGATTTGTCTCTAAAAATTAGGTTGGTGCAGGCCGGGATGGCATGCATGGGGCGATAAATTTTGGAATATTTACATTCATATCATCTAAGTCTCGTGTATATACATCTATAAGACTACATGTTAAATATGGGGGCCATTGGGAAAAGACTTGTGGGAAGAAGTTATGAATACTAGCTAAATCTATATATTCATATATATTACTAGTCTATATATTTACATATTTAACACTTTAAATTATATTTTTAATAATTATGTCACCAAAATAATTTATAATTTTTAACAAGAATTCTTTTTAACCTAATATGCAAATTAAAATAAAAAAATATTATTATTTAATAATTTATTTTTTTAGAGCTAAAATAATCCAAATATGAATGAATAAAATATAATGAGCTTAAAAAATTACTATTTATTTGCTTTATTGGCAAATAAATGGAACAGGACCTATTTATATTATTTCAAAAGAACTTAATGTTCTAGCCATTTAGTTCTCTCATTGACCTCACTGGTGATACAAGCAGAAACTTTTAAAGAATCACATATCACTCAATTGTCAAGTGGCCTTATCTATTCATGCAGCAGCATTTTTCTTTCTTAGAAGTTCAAATATTTGCTATTTTATGATATGATGTGATGCATAAATATAAAAGATGAAGTTTAGAATTGAGATATGTAAATACATAGGAATTGGGTGGTATGTATGTTAATGCCTCCATATTTGCAATGATTATCTGACCAATGGGTTTGGTTACACAAAATAGTTTCCTATAACAATTTTGATTTTTAACAAAAATAAAGCAGCCAACTGCTAATGACACTGTGGCATCAAAAAAAATAAATCGAGGAAGTTGCTCAAAAAGAAAAGGTTTTATTTGTGGCGGAAAAAAAATATTTCGTTCGGAATGGGAGCGTCACGTCACCTGTCGATGAGTTGCATGCAAAGTGTTGCCGTGAGGCTGGCCATCTGGACATATTTTCTCTCTATATTGCAGCAACATATCTGCATTTGAAGCTGTAAAGAGAGACGCTAGCACTGTAAGAAATTTGTTTTTTGAACTAGAGCTCCTTCCTTTAGGAAGATTTACGTACAAACTAGTCAAAACTCGTGTATTTATATATCTAACAACTAAATTTCTATTCTTACATACGTGTAACTTCACCTTAAAAAATAAAAAAAAAAGGTTAAAATAGTCATATATAGAGGTTTACAACCCAGAAGTGTTCCAAGTGTAAATATTAAACTTTAGATGCTAGATATATAAATACATAGAATTTTGCGGGATCTATGTATATTTCCCATGTAATTTTATTATTTATCAACACTAATGCTATCCATCGCAGCGAACATTACTATTGGCACCAATTCTGTTTTACAACACTCCCATTTCTATTAGGGATAGAAATGCTAATGATCAACATATCATATCAGTATATAATGAACTTACTATGCTTAACATATCACATCAGTAAATATATTAAACATATAGCATGATCCGTTAAGATAGTTGGTCAATCAAGGTCATTGCCACCGATTGACCCGCCGCCCCCACCACTTCCACCTCCCTTGCCACCATTAGCACTTCCAAACCCCTCACCAAGACCCACTGCC